TCACTGACAATGGCACTCAAAGTCCTCCATAGCAATAAGAGCAAGAACGTCCATTTCATCACGTGTCATTTTGATTTTAAGTTAACCAATGATAAGATGCAGGTTTATTTTTCTTTTTATGGTCTTCATCAAAATGCCTCTGGAGACAGTCCTAATGCCTGATAGATTGTGTGGAGAAAACAACGATGATTTCAGTGGATTTCCAGTGTTTACTCTAGTTTTATATCCTAATTTAGTTATAAAAATGGCTTTTGTATGCTATAGTTATTTGAATCTGTGAAATGCTGTTAGCAATGATTTGATGGCTCATAACTGGCACTTTAAGGAGTAGAGCTCATAAAAATGTTATTTTGGTCTCATTTTTATTGTGCTGGCAGAGATGCTTCTCCCTAAATTCTCATTTTTGTTTTCATGACCTTTTTCTGTTCTCTCAACAAGCACCAATATTCCCCCATTGTATCAAAACCACTATATATCTCTGCTTTTTCCCCCCTCGCAGAATCACACTCATTCATGTCTCACAGTGCTTTACTTTCCCGGTGTTTCCAGCTTTGTGCGTCTGGCTTCAAGCCATGCAAAACCTACGGCAAGGCCGTTTCTGTCTCATGTAAAGTGTTTTAAACATTACATTGCACTTTTGACGTGTTTAGCGGTGGATGCTTAGTCGACGGGGGGAGTTTGCTTTAGTTGACCCACATTGACGCAACTGTTCTTCCCCTTTCTGCGTTTTCCAGTTTCCATGTCTTTGCACAGACGAGAGCGCTCTCATCGTAGGGAGTAAAGCCACAGTTCATTAACATGAAGGATTTTTATAGGGTGCCATTAAAGCACCTTATATCAGCGTCAGCTCAAATTGATTGGCTTTAACAAGAACAAATAAAAGATGCAAGTATCTCATTTGTAAGCGGGTGTAAGGAAAGAGGGTGCTTGCAATCAAATGTTTATTTATTGTGCTCATATTATTCATTCGGTGAGAATCGGTGCTGCTGATGCAGAGGTCACTGGTTCAAATGACCCAAGGATCTGGTACTGAGATTACAATTCTGCCCCGTCGTTATTACGTCCTTGAAGAAGGTCGTTAACCCCGGCTGCTCCAGGCAGACGTCCCTTCGGTGTTTTGTGCTGCGGTACCTGCTCTTGTGGGCATATGTGAGTATGCATGTGTTTCTGGCAAAGGTGAAATGACCGCTAGACTAGCGGTGCTGAAAGTGCTGCAACTTTAATTTCCAGTGACACCAGAGCAGGTTATCAAGAAGCTTACATTTCCTGTTTCTTACATTTGCATTTATGCATTTAGCAGATGCTTTTATCCAAAGTGACTTACAGCAATAAAGCTATTATTGTTCTTCCTCAGATGACTTGGAACATAATGCACGAGTTGTGTGCTAAAGAGCAACCTGTGAGCAAGTAGATGACAGATTTTCATTTTTTGCATGAACTTGCACAATACAAGTATTATTTGTACAGTACAAAAATCGTTGCATATCTGGGTTTTCCTGTGTGATAAAGCACTAAAAATCCCAAGACTCCCAGAGGACAGTATTGTACTGTAAGTGCTTCCGATTTTGTAAGTGGCTTAAATTAAACCAATTTTGGTGTGGCCACTTTTATCCCACACCTCGGATGACAGATTTTCATTTTTTGCATGAACTTGCACAATACAAGTATTATTTGTACAGTACAAAAATCGTTGCATATCTGGGTTTTCCTGTGTGATAAAGCACTAAAAATCCCAAGACTCCCAGAGAACAGTATTGTACTGTAAGTGCTTCCGATTTTGTAAGTGGCTTAAATTAAACCAATTTTGGTGTGGCCACTTTTATCCCACACCTCCAAAACATCACTCATCTTTCATATTTCTCAAGTCAGACTATTAAAATTAATACATACATAAATAATAATAAAATGCATGTAATGCAAGTCAACAGATTTTGCTAATAGAGCTACCAATCTCTGTGGGGAAATAATATAATGATGCTGCAATCTTTCTGAAGTCATTTTTTACTCTCAGGTGAAAGTTGTCATTTTGACCCCCTCTACAAAATAGTGGATTTCTCAAATATACATCCGTGACATTAATGCATTTCCTTCACTAGGAGGAAACATGATCAAAATCAGATGTTTTAGCTGGGGACCTAGAGTTGACTTGGAATTAGCTTTTTTATTTATTTTGTATTTATTTTTTATGAGATGAACAAATAGCACTAAATTTAAATGAGATAAAATATTGGGACTTTTTTTTTTTTTGCACTGTATTTGCATTATTCAATCTGCCTGTCGTAAGCTCTCAGGATTTATGGAAGACTCAGATATATTTCAGGCAGGGCCTTTAGTGTACTTTCTTCAAGCAGCTTCTCATCGGATACCTGATCAAATGAATGCAATATAAAAGCTGAATTTTCAGGCTGGCTTTATGGAGGCATCCAAACAAACCACAAATATGAGTCTAATTTAAACTTTATTTAATTTTATATTTTCAAGTAGTGAGAGACATATTGACTTGCTTCCCCTCTCTATTTTTCTTTTCTGTATTTTGTATTTGTTTTTGAGGTGAATGAATAAAAATGAAGACGGTGCTTTAAAGAAATGTAATTCTTTCATATTTCATAGTGTGGAAATGCATTTGAGTGCTTTATACAGCGGCGTGTCGTATCTTTTATCTCATGCTCAATCAATCATCTGTTATCTGATCAAACTCTTATTTAGCAGGATGTTCTTCAAGCATCAGATCATTTTAAGCACATCTGCAGATGATACACAAGCGGCTCCTTTCAGCAATAAAAATAAATCGGCTACGGAAAATCAATGCACCACATACTGTAAATCACGCTGCACGTCTCATAAAAAAATATGTCTCTAAACAGCCCGTGAAGATAGTTTATTAAAATGTGGCTCATTTTGTCTTATATTACAAACTTCAGCTTTGCTCAGCCATGACAGCTTTACATTTTTATCATGTCATGTATTTGAAAGAGTCCGGTAAACATTTAATTATGACTCCAACAAGATGGCAAAGAGGTGATCCATATATATATATATACACTGATTCCTTGTGTTGCCAGAGATGACGCATTTGAAGAAGATCTTACCCTGGATGACGACTTTCTGAAATACAGATCCCAGGAGTGGAAGGATTGATCTCTGTATGCTTGTCCAATGGATTCGTCGCATGCAGAAATCAACACGTCTAACCGTAAGCATCCAAAACAATATCCAGAGATCCAAGAAGTGGCTCCATCTTCGCTTATTGTTTTGAGTCTCAGTTTCGTCAGATCCAGCTGCTGCTGTTCAGCTTTTCAAAATCCAGCCAATATCTCCAGAGGTTTGGCCAAAAACGACGTCTCAAAGGACGGAAAGTCTGTCCCGTAGAGCTCTCCAAACAACAAAAACACACATATAGCACTTCTGTCCTTTCAGTTAATCGTAATTGTAAATCCGTACACATATACAGTTTTCCTCTCGGAGTAAAAAAGGAAACAAACAAGAAATGGAAATAAACCATGCGGCTTGTTTTAGTTTACAGTGACTTTTACACAGACTGTACAAGGCATCAAATATATTCATCTGAATCCCATTCAAAATACTCGTCTACATACACTTTTGAATTAAATGAGTTTGTTTTTGAAGGATGACAACCCGACTGTGTTTATAACCGCAGGCGTCCTGTGTTCAAATGCAGCTGATGGATTTAGTTTAGGTGTTTGGTCTATTTACAGCACACACAAATGCGGATCTTCATCTTCATCATCGTGTGCCTAATTTAAAGTGCCGTCTTAAAAACAAAGTTTAATGTAGATCAACCTACTCAAATCAACAAGCCTACGCCGTACATTACCACCGAAGGACTCTCGGATAGCAGCTGCTCTGAAAGTCACATGCCCATGAATCTACGGAGAGTTTAGAGCCTCCAGCTGGTTTTATGATTACTCTTCCAATTATGAAGAGTACAATTTGGCAAGAATCTTGCTGAACAACCTTCTATTGCACGACCTGTCTCATTATTCAAGGAAATATCATGGTGTATTTTTTTGTTTCATGGCCTCGTTTAAGGATCAGGGAAACTACAGCCATCGAAGTACAAATAAACTTTGCTAAGTTTACATTACAGCATCCGGGCTGGAGTTACAAGCCAGAAACTTTCATAAGGAAACATCAAAGTAACATTTTTATCCTGCAACATTATAACGTAACAATTGTAACATATTGTAACATTTTGTCGCCCTTTACTCATTACTTGAGTTTTCTTCATCATTTTTTTTTTTTTGTCTGACAAAGTTGTTGTAGGGATTTTTATTGATTTATTGATTTATTTTTCCAGCTGTGGCACAAAACTACCTTTCAATGTATAATAAAAGTAGCCTGTTCTATCCATGCATAATTATTCAAATGATCTGAACCCATTTTAAAACGGTTTGCATCATTATTCGCTGATAATCTGGCAGAACACTCTAATTTTACTCTCATTTTAACATGAGGTTAACATTTTGAACTGTAATTTTAAACAAAAGTTTTTGCCTCAAGTGTCATACATTTCTAATGCAATTGGCTATTGTGTGTCTTGCTACTAATTGCGGCATGCCAAGCATTTTTAAACATCTATATAAAAGTATGATGTTACTATACTCATATATTTGTAATATGTGAGCCTGGAGCACAAAAGCAGTCATAAGTCGCTGGGGTATATTTGTAGCAATAGCCAACAATACATTGTATGGGTCAAAATTATCAATTTTTATTTTATGCCAAAAATCATTAGAATATTAAGTAAAGATCATGTTCCATGAAGATATTGGTCTTAGTACACGATGTAACTACAGAAGAGTCAAGTTTTAAATAGGAAAAATATAGAAACTCTTTGGTCTTTTTTGAGCGAGATGCTAACGGTCTAATCAGATTCAATGATCTATGCTAAGCTACAGCTAAAAGTGCTACCGCCAGACCCGGAGATCAGCTGGATGGATTCGAAAACGGTAAAACTCAACTGTTTAACTCTAGGGGAGCTGGAAAATGAGCCTATTTTCAAAAATAGTGGAGTGTTCCTTTAACGTGACTCTCACACGACGTGAGGATACAGTGTTACGGGGGAGAAAAAGAACATACATTTATTATGCCAAAAACAAAGCAATAATGCAAACCACCGTGGTTTACCACACAGTCGAGCTGAGCTCAGTTAGCGATCCAGACACAATATGCACTAAGCCGTGGTGCTGTTATTTTCACTTCAAGGCTGTTTTTGCATATGAATATACGACGAGTGAATGGCAGCTGTACAGAGTGGAGGGAATTTGAAATCAGATACTATATATATACTGTATATCTGTTCATATATTCATATGTTACACAAATATAGACTCTTCGGAACTTCAGAGCATGTATTAAATTCACAGCTGGAGATAAAAGGTCAACAAAAAACAACCAAAAATATATATATGGGGTGCAAGACCCTATAAGAGTCCGTGTCCGTTTGTTCGGTCCGGAGTTTGATTTGGAGCGTGAAGCACGTGTCCATTATGGCAGTTTTCCTTCTCCTAGGCTTTAGAAACGAAGGTGCTTCTGGTGATGATTGTTAGACTACATTGGGTGCAGTGTTGAGGCTGTGCTGTCCGTTCCATCCAAATAGCAGGCGATTTTCTCTTGGCTCTGAAATAAGAGTGATTCTGGGAAAAAAGAGTCACTGTCTTGAAACTATAGCCACGCTCCCCTCATGAAGCCAGATGTGAGGAGCAGAATAGCGAGTCCATTACTCGTGGATATCCTCGTACCTGTGGGGAGAGATGAGAGGATATTGAACGGAAAGGCAAGACAGAAGCACTTCACTGCAAATATAAATGAAACGCACCGGTCTAGCCTTGATTATACAAGACTGAGCTAACAGCATAAGAATACTTCAAACCCACAGGCTTTTGCTGCTCATTTATTGCACGTCCCTTTATATTGCAAAATGAAAGTACTTCAAAAAAGAACGATGGATGCAGATTTCATACAGCACATATATTGTAACAAACAGGCATGATTACAAGCTGTTCCACAACATAATAAGTTACATATGGACAATGTAATTAACTAATTGCTGACCTTCCGTCTAACTGTTGTTATGTACATTTTGTACTTGCATCTAGGAAATCCTTGATCTAAAAGTTTGACATGCAAATAAAAAATTGCATGTTTCTCAATATACACACTAACAATTGTGCTAAGCCTAGGTGGATATTTTGGAATTTTGCATTAGTCAAAATGTGTGTTCATTTGTTTTGCCCAAACTGTGACGTTTTTTGACCATTTCAGTGTGGAAGAGGTGGAAACACTATTTATAGACAAACAAGGAGTTTCTTTAAAAGTTTTGAGCACAGGCAATTCCAGTCATAATTTACATAAATTATAATGTGATGTGCATTCGTAATACTTATTAACTGGCTTTCCATTCACCTGTTTGCATGCAAATTTTGAATTTGCATGTACGAAATCCTGAATGTAAATGCTTTATACAGAATTCAAATTTGCATATTCCTCGATATTTGCATAAAAAAAAATTATGTGCTAAGCTGAAGTGGATTTTCTGAAGTTTTGCATAAGTCCAAAAGCGCATTTGTTTGTTCTGTCAACACACTGAGTATAGACAAGGGTTATTATGGTTAACTAACAATATTTAGATTTTTTTGCACCCTCAGATTCCAGATTTTCAAATAGTTGTATCTCGGCCAAATATTGTCCTATCCTAACAAACCATACATCAATGGGAAGCATATTTATTCAGCTTTCAGATGATGTACATGCATCTCAATTTTGAAAAATAGACACTTATGACTGGTTTTGTGGTCCAGGGTCACATATAAATACAGCACAATCACATAACAGAGAAAAGCAACTCTTTGCTGGTGCAGGATAAAAATCGCTCCATGAATGTTTCCCTTAAGTGACAGTATTTTAACAGCATTCCATATTGGTTTTGTGTTTGTTGTTGAGAGATTCTATATCTTATGTTTTAATCCAAACGCAATCCCAATACAACTGCCTTGAAAACCAAGATTGAGAAGCAACCACTAAACACAACTCCATTATGACTGGGAAAATGAGTTTTCGGAAAGCGAGCGTAGATTTGGCGTAAAACATGGGGCTCTTATGTAGTTTGTAAACAGTACTGCAACGTGCCCATCTCAGCAGTCTTTGGTTAAATGATATAAAAACACCTCAAGACATCAATACAAGAGCAGAATGTCAAACAGAATGAATTCCATCAAGATTCATTTCATTCAGATTCCTTTCAAAACCTCGACATTCCTTAAAGGACTTGTTGATAATACAGTGTTGGTTAAATGTCACCATCTTTTCTTAAAATACGGTGATGGGGGAATATGTAATTTTGATGCTTTTTTTCAAGCTATATCTTGGTTATTAATCTCAGAATATTCACTCTGATTAACCACAATACGATTAGTCAGTTTCTTCTTCATTTAGTCTGCAGTAGAAGATGTTTTAGTGTCATATTGTGTTTAGTCACTTGTGATGTTAAATGATACGGGTCACTTTAGGTTTGGATTAAGTGCCTTTTGCATCAGAATAAGCTAAATTGTTTTAAAACACTTCTTAAAGGTGTCCTGCAATGCCGATTTGATATAGGGAAAATGTTATCCTCTTTGATAATTCATACTGCTTGCAATCTGCACTCAAAATAAAAGGACAAATGCAAATATATATATTGTCTTTTAGTCAGAAAGCACTAAGCCATTCCATTTTTAATTGGAAAAAAAAGACAGAAAACCAATTCACAGCGACTATTGATTTTGTCAGCTTTAGTGGAAATCCATGATGCAGCATGATGTTGAAGATGGTAAACACACCGCGGAAGTGACAGCGGCGTCAAGAGTTGAAAAGCAATCATCTTCAGCACTTAAACGTGGGTGAATCGTACTTGAGATGTTTAGGAGGACACAATCACAGCATTCAGTGGCGCTGAAGGTCATGTAACACGTGAAGGTTGAAAGCTCAGGACATTTCTTTCGATCAATTCCTCTGACCCTCCACTCTCCAAAAAGTAAATAAGAGCCAAACAAACAATATATTTTCAACTACACTGAAACGATGCTCTGAAATGGCATGATTGTGTGTGAGATTCGATTCCTGCAATAGACTGCTGTGCTCACATGCTGAAAAATATATATATATATATTATTTTTTTCTCCATTTTCACTTAGTGTAACTTTATGTTCTTAAATAACTGAACATAAAACTGAAATAAAAGAAAAGAAAACTTAACACAAACTTGAACTTAAACACAATCATAATAATTCACATAAATAAGAGGCTATTTAGTTTTTAGTCTTTCTTTCCAGCTATTTTAATACAAATTTTTTATGTGTATAAGAAACCCTTGATGTAAACACATGATACGTAAGTAAATTTGCATGTTTGATTAATATTTGCATAAATGTTTAGGTGTTAAGCTGAAGTGGATTTTCTGGAGTCTGCATTCATTTATTTTGCATAAACAATAATGTGTGTTGACCATTTTGGCAACACGCTGAGTGTAGACCAACAAGGAGCATTATTACAGTCCCATCAATGAGGGTTTTGAGCATGTTTCCAGGTACATGGATGATTTTGGCCCTCATTATGTGAGCTATTGTCTGCACAGCATTTAATAAGTGTATATTTGCTCACATCTCTCCCCAAGAAACGGGGTCATTCAGACCCATGGTATACATACAGTATATGTGCAATATTACTAATATTATTACTTTTTTCAACATAAAGTGCAATCAGAGCAACTCTAAATCACCCAGGTACCACAAAATAGTCCTGTTTTATTGGTCTGTGTAAGTAAAGATGACGCTATCTGCCTATTCACAGAGGCCTTGTGCTAAAACCTCCCCATATAAATCACCCTGAAAACTGCCATTACGCCATGAAAAGGGATTAATGTGGAGCCTTCTGCAGCCCAGCCTGCCTTTCTAAAGGCTTTTCAGAGTATTTTTAAAACAACCTATGTGCTGACAGCTGTGTTATGGAGAAACACAACTACAGCTCTGTGCTGGATGCCAGTTTAGAAACAGATAAAGCATTATTATTTTTTTTTTTTAGTGCTGCAGGGATGTATAGGAATGCTTTGATAAATGATGAATCTCTTCCACTTTCTCCACAAAGTCAGTTTCTGGGTCCTATTGTTAGCAGGTTTGATCGTGTTCCATTTTCTCGCTCAGTACTATAAATACGCCTGGATTTTTTGAACCGCATTTCCTGTTGTTTTTCCTCATATTTTTTCTAGACCTCCTTTGAACAATGAAATTAGGTGCAGTACAAGGCCTAAAGACTTCAAAGCAAATGCGATCTGATTCCGCTCTGAACTTATTGCACACCTGCCTCGACTGCAGAAGAGAACGGGAGAAGCTCAAGGATGTGCACTGGCCATAAAACCAGAAAACAAGGCAACAAAGAGGAAATGGGAAATGAAATATTCAGTAAATCATGGTGACATTTACAGGATTTTTCCGTCAGCCTGAGCGCGGCGATGGGAGGGGATTCGGTGTCCGGGGAGCTTCGCTGGAGCTCTAAATCAGACAGGAGAGGAGGATCCTCCCATGACCCTCTGCTCCTCTCTGCCAGATCTCATTTGGCCCGAGGTGATCAAGCTGAACGGGAACCTTCCTGAAACAAGCTTTCCTCCCTTCTTCTGCTTGCAGTAATTAATCATTCTTGCCGGCCCTTTTAACTCCGGGCCGAAATGCACTGTCGATTATGCGTCGCATCTATAGGTTCATTACCAGTCGCATCTGATTAGCTGTAAGGAAGAGTATGAGTCATGCCAGCATGTCAGCAGCTGTAATTACAGCTCGCTGATGCTGTAGTAGTGAAGGATCTCTAAAGCTAAAAGAGCTCAGAGTACTCGGGTTCAAGTAAAACGACTCAGATGTAATTATAGTAAAGGTATACAGCATATGACAGAATTAATCTGCCCTCCGCTCATTTTACATGCTGTACGAATGGTATGTTAGAAGAACATCTGTGCAATCAAGTTTAAAAATCATCTTAATTGTTGATCTATTGATAGATCAGAGCCTTCTTTATTCTTGTGTTATGCTTTCCAGCATCTTTTCCATCTTTTTTTTTCTCTTCAGCTCAAGTGGTTTGTACGATCTCTGCTGGTTTTGGAAAGTTCAGAATGTAAGAATTGGCTCCTATTCAAATCAAACATTGAGAATTGAATTGAATTGGCCACGGTGTGCAGGATGTTGAATTAGAATGACAGGAAGAGGAATGTATTGAATTGCAATTCAAAGATATTCAGCGAGGTTACTCAATCTCATTAATCACAACTTGAATAATTAAATTATTAGTTTACACTAATTATGCATTAATTATTAGAGTTGGTAACCATGCAGAGTGTGTTAAATATCACCTGATTTTAAATATTTAAACATAATACCTGATTGTAGTGCAGCCTTTTAATACTTGACATGCAAATATCCAAGATCTGGTCCAAATATTTACCAGTGTTGTTACACACACACACACACACACACACATTCAGATTTCATATATATAAATCAGTTATAATTTATTATGTATATAAATT